TAAAGCCACTACTTACAAGGAAATTCTAATGATGCTGTTTTTCATCAGTACACTGAAATGACGCCAACCTAATGGATCAATCATGAAGAAACTTCGGCTTCATCTGACAACCGTTCTTAAAAACACTCTCTGGAAGAAGAGTAAGGTTTACAGAATACTTAAACGACTGCTACGCGTAGAAAACGGCATAACGTTTTGTCTCATCTCGTTAGTTTGTATTGGCATGTCAAAAACAGAAACAACTAGTTTTTTTCAAACATGCTCATAAATGCTTTTTGTCTTTTTAAGAAAATTTAGGATGATTCAGTGTGCAAAACTGTTTCACGTGTTATCAATACATAGGTTTACCAGATTTTCAACTTTTTCAAATGTTTTGTGACCTTACACACGTTCGAGTATATTTCGACATGCACTTACAATTTCATTCATTCTTTATTTGCAGGACGGCTGATAAAGGTGAAAATCCCATGAAAAATGCGATGAACAGAAACTTTCAGTGTAGATTTTGTCATTGCTATATTGTTCCACGTGGCCCCTTTTTTGGGGGAAGACAACTAGGTAGGAAATGAGGTAAAGTCCTTTTATACATAGCCAATAATATAAATATCCGCTCCTTTGTTTATGAATCCCATAACAATGGAACTTGTGAAGTCATTTGCTGCGACCTCACTATCGGATGTGGTACATTTATACTCGGTGTCATCTATCGCAGCCCAATCTGTTTAGCTGATGACTCAGCTATGGAGTGCAAATAACAGGTGCTTGATATTAGACTATAGTGAAACTGATATTAGATGAACTGAAATGACCATGGAAGGATCTATAAACTCCTTTGACAGCACGTTCCTGTTAACAGTAATGGAGCATTCATTAGTACAGCATGTATCCAAACCCACACGTTTTGGTACAAACCGATTTTCTTCTCTATTGGCCTTGGTAATCACTCATGCCAACCTAAATAATCTTTCACCGTTGGTGGATAGCGATCATGCCGTTTTGTCATTCACGTTTAGAGCTAGTCGCATGATATACGATGAGGTTAGGCCTCACCCAAATATATGGAGAGCCAACATATCAGCCATCCAGGAATGCGCTGCTAAGACAGATTGGTCATTAGATAACAGCTCATCAGCTGAAGGAGCATGGTATATATTTAAATGCAAGTTTAGTTCAGTTACGTCCCAGTTCATACCATACCTGGTACCGCGAAGACTGAATAACAGTCCATCGTGGATAACTAAGCAAGCCAAGAAACTTCTTAGACGCAGGAAAAAGCATTGAAATACATTTATCTTCACTGGCTTAGAACAGTACAGATCCATTTATCATAAGATTAGGAATGCTTGTAAAGCGCAAATAAGACTAGACGGTCATATGAAAAACAATATGTTAGGGATTGTAAATATACTCCGAAACGCTTATTCTCGTATATAAAAACGACAAACTCGGAGAAGCGATGGAATTCCGTCACTTCTGATACAAGAAAATCCGTTAATGCTGGCAAGAAATGATATCAAAATGCTAAAGTATTATCGGATTATTTTGATAAAGTGTTTTCTGTTGAGTCGGCTTCCCCAAGACTGCAATGGAGCCTCCAGAGGCCCTGAAAGAGCCGAAGAGTCCTAGCCAATCAGAGCATGACGAAGCTTCCCAGAATATCAACGTGGCGTGCTACTATTGGTCAGTAGCATAATATGTCTTTTAGCGGGTTGGCCAAAACATGATGTTGATTTAACAAATATTAACATCCATAAATACCCATGTTTTTCTGTACAAAAATGAACCTTTGGAGTTAAGTGTTTTTCGCATATTTTGCTCTTTTTCTCTCGAGTTCAGGTCGTTGCGCAGTTCTAGCTTGTGTGCTACCAGAATAGCTTAGGAACCGAATAAAGCGTTCAAATTAACAAGATTTATCATTTTCCATCAGTAATGAGGGACGACCAACATTTCATTGTGATTGAAGCAACTTGTTGATAGACCTTGTATTCATTAAGAAAGTTACTGTCTTATGACTAATTCAGCATCTAAAACGTGATAAGTTCAATGGTCCTGATGTTATTCATCCTAGGATTGTGAAAGCCCTATAAGATGTGATTGCTGAAGCTTTGGCGATACGGTTTGATATGTCTCTGTGGCAGTCCAGGCTGCCAAGAGACTGGAAAGACACAACAATTCGTCTGGTGTATGAGACTTGGAGCAGAGATTTAGTTGGTAACTACGAAAGTCATCATCCAGAAAATACAGGTGTTTACTAACAATTGTCTACGCAAAATACTTCAGATCCGTTGGCCGGACACTATTAGTAATAACCAACTGTGGGAAAGAACAAACCAGATCCCAGTGGAGGAAGAAATCAGGAAGAAGCGCTGGAAGTGGATAGGACACACATTGAGGAAAGCACCCAACTGCGTCACAAGACAAACCCTCACATGGAATCCTCAAGGCCAAAGGAAAAGAGGAAGACCGAAGAACACATTACGCCGAGAAATGGAGACAGACATGAGAGGAATGAACAAGAATTGGATGGAATTAGTAAAGAAGTCCCAGGACAGACTGGGTTGGAAAATGCTTGTTGGCGGCCTATACTCCAATAAGAGTAACAGGCGTAAGTAAGTAATCGATCCGTTAGCTTAACTAGCAAAGTTGTAAAACTAATGGAAAAATTTATCCGGATAGCTGTTATAAACTATGTAGAAGGGCATAATCTTTTATCCAGGGAACAACATGGTTTTCGGAGAGGTCTATCATGTTTAAAAAATTTTATTGCAACCGAAGACTAAGCTGAGGCAAAAGATCGGAATGTTCCTGTAGATGTCCATTTCATAGATCTAAATCAGGCCTTTGATAAGGTCTCCCATTCTGGTCTTAAGTTAAAACTGGGAAGTTTTGGAATGCATTATGCAGCCACAGACTGGATGAGTGACTTTCTGCATGACAGGAGGAAAATTATAGGGGTAAATAGAGCCCTTTCATCGTGGGAACTTGTAAACAGTGAAGTCCCCTGAGACACAATCGTTGGTCCTCTTCTCTTTTTATTTTATGCAAATGAATTATCAACTGTAGCGAAATCGACCGTTCTACTCTTCGCTGATTCTATGAATATTTGGAGACACACGCAGCATGCCAGATAGAATAACATTACAGGGCGATCTCAGCTCATCGATGGCATGGATGGACAGGCGTTCACTAGAAGTAAATTCTAAGAAGTGTGTGGTGATGCAATTAACTAACTATGATGTATCGTATCACTACACAATATGTAAATTCGTGCTACCCAAAGTAAGAAACTATAAAGATTTTGAATCAGTAATCTCAAAACTACCAGCTACTGTAAGGCTGTTGCTGCAAAATTTTACAGGGTATTATGGTCTACTCGTAGGACTTCCCAGTATTTGGATGATGAAATGCTTGGATTATTATACCCGACTTTGGAATTCAAGCAGAGGCTCCTTGTTTCAAGTGTGAGTTGGATATGCTGGAACAAGTCAAATGGCGAAGAACTAAGATGGCAAAAGGTCCATCTGGTCTATCTCATGAAGACAGACTGAGACACCTTAACAAATTTCTGTTATCTTACCGTAGAATACGGGGTGATATCAGTCAGTCAGTGACAACGTAGAACTTCGTACGTACGTACATCAGCTCGAGTTGCCACACCACATTAGCACAGAGATGCAGTGGTCGATTCAAATCCCGTAGTGGTAGAGGTGGTAAGAGCATAAGTAGTAATCGGAAAGATTAGGGTTTGAAAATGTTATTGAGGTAGTATAATACAGTGAAATAAATTTGGAAAGAAAAAAAAGGACATGAGGAATTCAGAAGATTAGAATTTGGGAGAGCACAAAGAGTGGATGCACCTGCGCCATTGCAAACGATTTTGAGTCATGTCATTCAGGGTCTCTAACCATCGGTTGCTATCATCTCGCGGTTCCCAACCAGGTAGTCTACACCTACCGACATGACTCAGTCCACTTGTCAGTGACTTCATGGGCTTGTGCCATGTTTTGGTCTGGACGCCCCTAGCTTTCTTCCAACCTACTCCTATACAACAAAACATCGCACATCGAGGCAGTCGGTGGCTAGACATACGTAACACATGTCCGAGCCATCTCAACTGATGAAGTTTCACTACTTCGTCAATTGATTTGCCATCCTTACCTAGTACCCGTTTCCTAACAACTGCATTACTTACTTACTCGATGGTCCCAGGATATACGAGCAATATTTCGAAGATACCTATGGTCAAATACTAGTAACCTACGAATATCCTCTACTCTTACCGGCCATGTTTCACTGCCATAAAGTAGGACGGAACGAACTGCTGCGCAGTAAACACGTCCTTTGGTTGATAGACGGATATCTCGCCTACGCCATAAATGACGCAAGTTGGCGAAAGCTAGTCGAGCCTTCTGCATCCGTGCTGAGATTTCGTCACACACCAGACCACAAGGGCTGATGAGACTTCCAAGATAAGTGAGGCGGTCGATACGCTCAACTACCTCACTCCCTATAATTAGTTCGGGTGTCTTTGCAACCCAATCCTGAAGTAAAATGTTGCATTTCGAGGGAGAGAATCGCATGCCGAACATGCTTGCATTGTTGCTTATACTGGTCAGAAGACTTTGCATTTTGGCAGCGTCTTCGCCAAATAGAACTATATCGTCATGGTGGTCTAATAATGGCTTATCGTATACTGAACGATGACCTTGGTATTTATGTCTTACCTTTCCCTTCCGTCTAGGACTGATCATTTGAGAGGACATTCGAAGAAAGTTCTAAAACCGAGATCAAATCGTTTATGTCTGGAGTGTCGTTTCTCACACTGAGTAATGGATTACTGGAATTCTCTACCGGAACACGTAATATCAACACCTTCTGCTGGTATACTGAAAACGAGCTTGGACCTTCAAAGTGTTACAAACTGCAAGGATTAATATAAGTCGATAGATCTCCCATTATTATTACTGAAGGCTGAAGACTGAAATGTAACATTAAAACGACCCGGGCTTTTTGGTATGGATGTAACAGCGTGGGAACTCGAACAAATAATCGTACGTTTGGTAATATCTTTTTTTGAGTATATCTGGCCTTAAAAACAATACACATTTAAAAGACAGCTTGTTAAATGAATTATCTAAATGGTTAGATTTTTTTGATAGGTTTGTATTCTATCCTGCAATGTGATTCGAGCTGAAATTTAATATAAAAGAAGTAAGAACTGTGAGTCCTTGAGTGATAGTAAGGTGGGATATTTTTTCCAGCTGATCACAGTAACCATCGAGCCTGACTCAATGTGACGACTCAATTTTCCAAATTGCATCGGTATGCTCCCAATTACTGGGTCTAAAACGTAACGCGTAAATCAAAGCATCCGAGTTTCTCTTATTGGGTTGATTCTCAACTATATTTCAGCAGCTTCATTATTAATTGTCAAAAATCGTCGGCGAGACTATAATTTATGGACAAACCAATCAGATCTACAACAACAGGTCTGAAATTTTGGCTCGAAATTCATTCACTCATCTGGCTAAATAGAGTTTTGACATTGTAACATGTCAGTTCGTAATGAAAACCCTAAATCTAAGTTCTCATTCTAACCATCAACTCTAAATCATAATCCTTATTCCTTAAACTGCTTTATAACCCTCATTTAGGTCTGGTAAGTAGGTAGGCACTATCAAGGTCACTTCTGTGTCGCTCAAAGGTCGTCCATAAATTATAGTTTCACCGATATCTGTATACCATCCTGAAAACTGGGAATCTATGTAGCTACTGAGCTGCCTCAAAGTACTTTGCACGGAACCTAAATGCTTTCAAAGTTCGCTATAGCTAATAACATTTTTGTGGAAACTATAAACCGGGGGTCCGCGTGACTGTCCTAACCAATGGTTGGAGACTCTTGGTGACATGGCTCAGAATCGATCACAAATGGCGTCGGTGTATACACTCTCTATCTTCCCTTAAACTAAGAGATTAAAGTCGCTTTATATATTTCTTTCTATGAACTAACTCTTTCTTCCTGTACTATATCCTCATATGCAATCTTTTTTTAATATAATACCACCATTGACTTAATCATTCCTGTGAGTCCGGTGTTCATCTTGCTGTGCTAATGAGGTATGACAACTTGGATCGATGCATATATGTGTCTGATCCTACGTTGTAGCTGACTGACTGGAAACTATAAACATTTGAGCAAATTATAATTTACGAAAAAAACCCAGTATAGTGGGTCTTAAAAAAGCTCTGATGGACCAAAAAGTGTACAGCAGGGATTTACTTAATCACGTGTTCAGTTATTACAGCTCCAAAACTATAAATCGATAGTCGTATGTTAAATCAAGTATTGTACTGTCTTTAAAAGACCTAGTCATTAATTATGTGAATTCTAGGGTTCGGCTTCAAGTGAAAAGGTCAAATATGGAAAGCGGAAAGCCGAATACAGTCCTTTAGAGGAAAAGAACAAACGTTTAAAAGCTGAGAACTCGGTTTCAAACCATGAAAAAGTTGTCGAAACTCCAGCTACAAAGTCTGCTATTGAAGAGCGCAAGCCTGCAACAAATGATTTAATAAATCCTGTCATTTATAAAGAAATACAAGGCATTTTAGAACATCGTAATAAATGCACATTGAAAATCCACGGACTCCCTGCCAAGACAACCATAAATGAATTGGAAAAACTGGCTCCGGAAGCAAAAGCCTATCGTTTACCATGGATAACTCGTCTTTACCGATGCCATGGATTCGCCTTCCTGGAGTTCGAATCAGAGGAACAAGCCTTGATGCATAAAGAAAAACTCCACAAAAAACTTTATGGGAACAAAACTTTATTCGCCAGTGTTGGGAAGTTCATCTCAGAATGTATTGGTAAGATCGATATCTGAATTCGCATAATTATATGGGTATTCAGATGACTATGATTGCAAAATGCTTGTCCTTTATGGAGTAAATTACAATGTTAAGAAAGGTGAAATAGCAAGAAAATTTCCTTCTTCCACTAATATATCACTCGATAAAACTAGTCACTTAAATGCTAGACATAAACCTGGCGTCGCTTACTTGACTTTTGCATCAGAAGAAGATGCTGTGAATGCCATTAAATGTAGGCAAGGTTGCTTATTGAGAGGTCGAAAAGTATCCGTTCTTTTCCACACAAAACAACAAGAAAAAAGGTAAGCTTGTTTACTCCTAATTTTTCAAAATCACTGAAAGTAAGAATTGTCTTTTAGTTCGTGGCTTAAGTAAAAAGGTGAATAAAGACGATCTTCTGGCTGTATTTCCTCAAGCATCAACGGTTCATATTAATCACTTTCGCGGTGAAGCTCGAATTATGTATGATTTAGAGGAGGATTGTCTTTTGGACCAAAAACAAGCAAAAGATGTGTCGATCGGTGGTCGGAAAATCCAGGTTTTTTCGATTTCTGTTAAAAAAAAGGATACATCCCATTCATTACCTAAAACTGGACAGTCCGGAATTTCTAACGCAGATAAGGATGTGCCATCAAGTATAGTAATAGATAGATCTACTCTGCCTTTATGTGAAGAAACCATGTTTAAGTTATTTCCAAAAGCAATTGACTTCTGCATACCCTCACAGTCAGTTTCTCAAAATAGGTAAGCTTATTTCCAATCCTCCGGATTTGTTTCTTTATCATGACATGATAATATAACAATTACATTTTTCCAATGCTCTCTAATTGGGTATATCTAGTTGTAGTTTTACAAACCAAGTGAATAGGCAACTAGCGTTTTTATTTAGCAAAACTAGTTGTAACCCGTTGGATAGTGTTCACAATGGTCTCGGTCGATGACATTTTGTGACGTGGTAATTCCCTAAACAAATTACGTATCAAAAACATTTTCCAGTTGCGGGACCAACTAGGAACATTGAGTACATCGAGAGTTACGTCATCAACTGCGATGCTTGTGATCACAGTATGGTACACTCGTTTCCCACTGCTTCGGTTTGGGTGCCCGAGGAGCATCACAACCTTCACACGAATTAAGTGATGGTGTGGTGCATGTGTATCTAGTGCCTCCTCATGCCAATGCTTGTGCTTAAATAAAAAATAAATACATTAAGTTCTCGGTTTGCATTCAAATTTAAAGTTACTAGCACTTTTTCTACTATTATTTCTTTCAACGACAAATATTTCATACTGTCAAAATTTTTGAAAGCATAGACATGATCCACTCTTTTTTTATCATATGCTGTTTTTTGCAAACTGATTTTAAATATCTCATCGATATATTAATGTTATAACCTGAACAATCCTAATTGTCTGTGTTCATATTCAAGCTATTTCACAGTTCATAAAGTTTGTTTTTAATTAAGGTAGTAACACCTCTCCAAAGTTGTCAGTCTAGTTGAAGTTATAGAAGCTGTTGTCTCATTACATTTTGTCTTCATTTACAATCTTATGAGTTTCAGAATAGCTGATAGTTCATTTAAAAAGGTTCATTAATCTGTGATATAAAATTTCCTTCTTATTCTTTTGTTTTAAGTGTGGCGTGTGTTAAATTCGCCACTTTATCACAAGCTAAAAGAGCGATCAAATCATTAGATGGCAAATCAATGCGAGCTAGAATAGCCAATCCGAAAAGAATGAGACTTCTTGGCATTTCTAAAACGTTTACTACAGAGAAAAAGGATGGAACTAATATACCTCTTTTTCCTACTAAGGTCGATCATAATAAAACTAGTCAGGAAGTCAAACGAAACAAGAAACATCACAGATCTAAAGCTAGATTTCCGAGTAAACATGTAAATTTCTAAATAAATATAATACTACAATTAAACTCGTCTTCTGATTAATTTTGTGATCAAAATATTTGATACAGTATTTATGTCATCAATCCAATTTTGAATAATATCTACATAATTTTTATTATTACCATAAAAAACTAATATACAAGGGCAATTTGTGACTGACTAGTTTTAAAAATAATTCCTAAGTCTGAAACCACTAGGAATTTATTGCTATCAGACTTCAACATTTTCATGAAATCACGAAAAAATAAATTAAAAACATGAAATATCGACATCGTTTCATACATACGTCACTAGTAAAATTAGCTGAACCTACCAGCGTGTAAAGAAATCGTCAGCAAACATTCCTTCTCTTTCCACTTCATAACAACAATCAAATTAATATCCCACAAAAATATATCGCAAAATTCCTAAAACCATTGACAAAACTTCCCTACCCTATGTGAGCTATCGCACATGTCTATAGAGATATATGTAGTTTTCGTTTCGGACGATAGTATTCGCATATGGAGTATATTGATAGTTAGTGTTATTTGTTCCTTTTACATCGGACGTGAGTGATTATGTGGTGTTGGTGATTTTGTGTACGGTGGTTATTGACTAATCGAGTAGATATTGTGTGTTGTGTGATTTAGTTGTGTGTTGTATTGCACTGGGATCTTATGTTCGGATAGTGATGTTGGGACTGTAGTGGTGTGATAAGTTGTTTGTATTTGATGATTGATCGTTTACAGGTGTTTGCAGTGAGCTTGCTTTCGACATACTTTTCTTCGCGTGTTCGACACTGCATAGATAACTTGTCCCTTTATAGATTGGTGGATGTGTGGCAAAATGAGAAAAAATATTTTTGCGTATATATGTATGAGAATAGATGATTGTGTTTGTTGGATTGCCTGAACGATGTGTATGAAGTTTTGTTGTTTGTGGAAATTTGTTGACCATGGGTGGTCATATGGACGTGTCCATAATCTAACACCCTCAGTAGACATTCTGCGGGATTCGCTGATGGACTAAATGAATAAGTTGACCGTTGAGTCGATAGACATTATCATTCTCGACGGAGACGGTACACGATTATATTTGTATGACTGGAGGATGTTTCGTGTTGATGACGAGTTGTCAGTTGGAATTGAGGTTTCTTATATGTATATATATATGTATATATATATATATATATATATATATATATATATATATATATTTGCTTGATTATTTAGTTACTTTCTGACGGGGATTGAAGAGTTCTGAATGTGTGTGAATGTTTGCCGAGCGTAAGTGAGCACACTCCGGAGGTCGAGATAGTAATTTATCTTTGTCCAAACTGGGTAGTGCAACATCGAGTATTCCACTGTCACATCTATGTCGGTGGTGTCCATTGATTTGCAAATAAATTTGATGTATTGGTTTGTTGAATTTGTTGTGTTTAGTCTTATGAATATGGTGTTAAAATATTTGATGTTGTGCTTTGTGAAGTGTATATGGATGTGCCTGAGTGGTTTTGTGTAGTTGATTGTTTGGTATTGGTGAGCACACTCCGGAAGTGGAGATAGTAATTTATCTTTGTCCAAACTGGGTAGTGCAACATCGAGTATTCCACTGTCGCTTATCTGTTAGTGGTGTCCATTCATTGAATATCACAGTTGTTGTGTTTGTGTATGTTATGTTGAATTTTTGTGTAAAATGTGCAAGTAGTAATTGGAGTGAGGTTGCCTAATGTGGATGGTTTGTAGGGTGTGTGTGTGGGAGAGAGTGAGTGATGGTGGATGATGAAGATGGTATTTGTGTTTGACGTTGATTTGTTTGTACTGTGTATCACAGAAGTGTTAATCTTTCACAGATGTGTGGTGAGTGTTGTTTGTGGACAACGTGAGTTGTAGTTGAGTGTTTTGTTTCGCTTAATAATAGTTGGGTTGAAGAAACAGTTTATTTTTCTGAGGTGGTGTGTCGCCGACACCAAAGGGTTAGCTGGTCGTTTAGTTAATTGTTGTTCTGTGAACAGAGGAGTGTGGTGTGAATGTTTTGTGTAGAGACGTCTGACTAATATGTGTTGTTGATTTCTTCATGTGTAGATCTCGGTGGGCGTCGTGTCGTGATTATTGGAGAGTGTTGTTGTCGTGTGTGTGTATGCATGTATGTTAGTGATATTGGTGATGTTAGTTGTGCAGATGCGTCATTTTGTCTTGTGAAATGCTTGTGTAACATTGACTGGTTGTGTTCTGTAGTTAAGATGTGGGAGTGTGAGTGGAGAACAGGATGACTGTGGTGACGAGAGTATTTCTGAATAGTGTGTAGACAGTGTTAGTTGTGGTAGATGTCCATCGAGATATCTGTAGTTTTCGTTTCGGACGATAGTATTCGCATATGGAGTATATTGATAGTTAGTGTTATTTGTTCCTTTTACATCGGACGTGAGTGATTATGTGGTGTTGGTGATTTTGTGTACGGTGGTTATTGACTAATCGAGTAGATATTGTGTGTTGTGTGATTTAGTTGTGTGTTGTATTGCACTGGGATCTTATGTTTGGATAGTGATGTTGGGACTGTAGTGGTGTGATAAGTTGTTTGTATTTGATGATTGATCGTTTACAGGTGTTTGCAGTGAGCTTGCTTTCGACATACTTTTCTTCGCGTGTTCGACACTGCATAGATAACTTGTCCCTTCATAGATTGGTGGATGTGTGGCAAAATGAGAAAAAATATTTTTGCGTATATATGTATGAGAATAGATGATTGTGTTTGTTGGATTGCCTGAACGATGTGTATGAAGTTTTGTTGTTTGTGGAAATTTGTTGACCATGGGTGGTCATATGGACGTGTCCATAATCTAACACCCTCAGTAGACATTCTGCGGGATTCGCTGATGGACTAAATGAATAAGTTGACCGTTGAGTCGATAGACATTATCATTCTCGACGGAGACGGTACACGATTATATTTGTATGACTGGAGGATGTTTCGTGTTGATGACGAGTTGTCAGTTGGAATTGAGGTTTCTTATATGTATATATATATGTATATATATATATATATATATATATATATATATATATATATATTTGCTTGATTATTTAGTTACTTTCTGACGGGGATTGAAGAGTTCTGAATGTGTGTGAATGTTTGCCGAGCGTAAGTGAGCACACTCCGGAGGTCGAGATAGTAATTTATCTTTGTCCAAACTGGGTAGTGCAACATCGAGTATTCCACTGTCACATCTATGTCGGTGGTGTCCATTGATTTGCAAATAAATTTGATGTATTGGTTTGTTGAATTTGTTGTGTTTAGTCTTATGAATATGGTGTTAAAATATTTGATGTTGTGCTTTGTGAAGTGTATATGGATGTGCCTGAGTGGTTTTGTGTAGTTGATTGTTTGGTATTGGTGAGCACACTCCGGAAGTGGAGATAGTAATTTATCTTTGTCCAAACTGGGTAGTGCAACATCGAGTATTCCACTGTCGCTTATCTGTTAGTGGTGTCCATTCATTGAATATCACAGTTGTTGTGTTTGTGTATGTTATGTTGAATTTTTGTGTAAAATGTGCAAGTAGTAATTGGAGTGAGGTTGCCTAATGTGGATGGTTTGTAGGGTGTGTGTGTGGGAGAGAGTGAGTGATGGTGGATGATGAAGATGGTATTTGTGTTTGACGTTGATTTGTTTGTACTGTGTATCACAGAAGTGTTAATCTTTCACAGATGTGTGGTGAGTGTTGTTTGTGGACAACGTGAGTTGTAGTTGAGTGTTTTGTTTCGCTTAATAATAGTTGGGTTGAAGAAACAGTTTATTTTTCTGAGGTGGTGTGTCGCCGACACCAAAGGGTTAGCTGGTCGTTTAGTTAATTGTTGTTCTGTGAACAGAGGAGTGTGGTGTGAATGTTTTGTGTAGAGACGTCTGACTAATATGTGTTGTTGATTTCTTCATGTGTAGATGCGGAGCTGAATAATGTAGTGATTATTGGAGAGTGTTGTTGTCGTGTGTGTGTATGCATGTATGTTAGTGATATTGGTGATGTTAGTTGTGCAGATGCGTCATTTTGTCTTGTGAAATGCTTGTGTAACATTGACTGGTTGTGTTCTGTAGTTAAGATGTGGGAGTGTGAGTGGAGAACAGGATGACTGTGGTGACGAGAGTATTTCTGAATAGTGTGTAGACAGTGTTAGTTGTGGTAGATGTCCATCGAGATATCTGTAGTTTTCGTTTCGGACGATAGTATTCGCATATGGAGTATATTGATAGTTAGTGTTATTTGTTCCTTTTACATCGGACGTGAGTGATTATGTGGTGTTGGTGATTTTGTGTACGGTGGTTATTGACTAATCGAGTAGATATTGTGTGTTGTGTGATTTAGTTGTGTGTTGTATTGCACTGGGATCTTATGTTTGGATAGTGATGTTGGGACTGTAGTGGTGTGATAAGTTGTTTGTATTTGATGATTGATCGTTTACAGGTGTTTGCAGTGAGCTTGCTTTCGACATACTTTTCTTCGCGTGTTCGACACTGCATAGATAACTTGTCCCTTTATAGATTGGTGGATGTGTGGCAAAATGAGAAAAAATATTTTTGCGTATATATGTATGAGAATAGATGATTGTGTTTGTTGGATTGCCTGAACGATGTGTATGAAGTTTTGTTGTTTGTGGAAATTTGTTGACCATGGGTGGTCATATGGACGTGTCCATAATCTAACACCCTCAGTAGACATTCTGCGGGATTCGCTGATGGACTAAATGAATAAGTTGACCGTTGAGTCGATAGACATTATCATTCTCGACGGAGACGGTACACGATTATATTTGTATGACTGGAGGATGTTTCGTGTTGATGACGAGTTGTCAGTTGGAATTGAGGTTTCTTATATGTATATATATATGTATATATATATATATATATATATATATATATATATATATATTTGCTTGATTATTTAGTTACTTTCTGACGGGGATTGAAGAGTTCTGAATGTGTGTGAATGTTTGCCGAGCGTAAGTGAGCACACTCCGGAGGTCGAGATAGTAATTTATCTTTGTCCAAACTGGGTAGTGCAACATCGAGTATTCCACTGTCACATCTATGTCGGTGGTGTCCATTGATTTGCAAATAAATTTGATGTATTGGTTTGTTGAATTTGTTGTGTTTAGTCTTATGAATATGGTGTTAAAATATTTGATGTTGTGCTTTGTGAAGTGTATATGGATGTGCCTGAGTGGTTTTGTGTAGTTGATTGTTTGGTATTGGTGAGCACACTCCGGAAGTGGAGATAGTAATTTATCTTTGTCCAAACTGGGTAGTGCAACATCGAGTATTCCACTGTCGCTTATCTGTTAGTGGTGTCCATTCATTGAATATCACAGTTGTTGTGTTTGTGTATGTTATGTTGAATTTTTGTGTAAAATGTGCAAGTAGTAATTGGAGTGAGGTTGCCTAATGTGGATGGTTTGTAGGGTGTGTGTGTGGGAGAGAGTGAGTGATGGTGGATGGTGAAGATGGTATTTGTGTTTGA